AAAACGGTTACTGTATAACCCTCAGATTTAGACAAGCTCAGGAATTGTATATATGAAAAGCAGTGAGCACCAGTGCCACATTTAACACTTATGAATGTCGCTTGTCTTCCCCTCTGCTCCTTTCAGTCGCTTGACTGGCGAAGAGGCCAAAGAATTCAGTGTGGAGGTCAAAAGACACTTCCCTCGACTGTGCAGAGTGCTAAAGGTATGTGTTGTCTTTCATTTCTTTTTTTTCCACAATTTATTTTAATGAAGAAACCCAAAGGGATGTTTAGGTACCCAAAGGGATGCCCTGTTACCTGCTCAGACTAAGGCTTGGACTGAGCTCCAGCAATGCTGGCTTGAGCTAGTGACATGGTAGTAAGGGTTTGTTGGTAAATTTTCCTTCATGTTATAGAAATTACTGTGGAGAAATAAATTTGAGCCTTGGATGAGTTCATGCTGTGTTGTGCAGTCAAATCTAATATTCTTGAAAAGGTCCACTGTGTTCTGCCTATCCTTAGAAACACTTGGGAGAATTGGAATATGAAGCAAATCTCAAGGGATTTGGAATATGCAGGTTGCTGTTCTAGATGCCTTTTTAATACCTTGTTGTAGACATTTGATAACAGTTGGGAAGTTAGGTAGTAGTACATGCACAGAAAAGAATTAAAGAATTTCTGATATTTAGCACATTTTAGTAAAGCTGTTGAAATTGGTTCTAATGTTTTGAACCTCAAATTCTTTCAGTAATTTGGGTTATATGCAAACAGAATGTCTTAACTGTTGGCATATTTTCTATCAAGTGTTCTGTTTTGATAGCTCTTTTCATTAAGCAGAAGTCTTGGAATTAAGGCAGTTAAAACTTCATAGCTGCTTCTGTGGCTTAAGACTTTAATAACTTATTTTTTTCAGGAGTACATTTTGAGTCAAAACTTGGAGCTGAGTAATGCAGCATTACAGGCCTTGGGATTTTGTGTTTTTAATTCCAAGATTACATCTGAATTATCTGGTAAGCAATCTAAAGCTTTCACTTATTTGATAATTTTTAAAAAGCATAGCAGGACTCTTTCTTTGTTACTAAATGCTTTAGTTTTGACTAAGTTACTGTTCCAAGTGGTATAGTAGTTTTGTCTCTAACACAAGCAGTGCGAGCAGTTCCCTACTGTCATTTTATGTAAGAAATTATAGTGTGTTTCCATACTAATTTCCAGTTTCAATAAACACTTCAATAGCATTCAGTCCTGTAATTTGTTTTTGTGGAATTGCTAATGAAAAAAGATGCCTACTTCCAAGTAGGAAGTAGTTGCATTTTCCTTCCTAGTTGCATCTGAGTGCATTGTTTATTTTGTTCTTTCTGTAATGTAAACACTTGCTGTTTGATCTTTACTTTTTTGTGCATTCTAATTATTTTGAAAGCTACAAAAATTGCTGAAGAGTAATGTTTAAGACATTAAATTGTGGCTTTGGGGAGCTTTAGCTACATGCATCTTCTTGCATTAGTGTTTACTAACTGAGCAAAATGACCTGAATGAAACTTGCTAAGATGTTGGTTTGATTGCACAAGCAGAATGTGAGTGCTCTGCTTTCTGCTTTCAGCAACAGAAGTAAAAGAGCTGCTTTCAGCAGTGAACAACCTCGCTGTAAAAACTTCAGACAAAAACACTCGCACTCGAGCACTTTGGGTGATCTCTAAGCAGACGTTTCCTTCTGAAATTGTTGGAAAGGAGGTAAGTTCCTTAGCTTTTTTTTTCTTTTTTTTTCCTCTTTCTCTTCCACACATGATTGCCAAAGGAAATGGAGCTTCATGCAATTTTTGGTCACTTTTCACCTAGTAACTTTTGAGTTTGAAGGTGATTTTCTGTCAAAATTGACAGGTGGGTAAAGGGCCTATTTATATGAAGTTCTTGGAAGCTTTTTTTAAACAGGGATACCTACAGAGAAGAAACAGTTCAAATAGATTTGGTGCATTTGAGGGAAAACCTGCAACATGATCCTAGCAATTGCATTAGATCCCAGCGAAGCTGCACGGGAGAGAAACATTATGATGCTCGTTTTTTTCAGATTTCTGATCTTAACTGGACCCAGGGTAATCCAATGACTGGGCACACTTGGAGCAAACCAGATTTCAGAATTCATGCTGCTTATGGAAATACTCATATTTGGTACGGTGCTTACTCTCCTATTTCTTCCTCAGGTGTCCAGCATCATTTCTACGCTGGAAGCGATCCTTACCAAAGGAGATGTACCTTCTATGATCGTTGAATATGAAGCACTGAATGTTGTGATACGGTATGTGCACTGCAGTATTTGGAATTTTTAGTCTTTTGAAAAACTATTGAAACAATATTAGTGACTTTAAATATTCTGGTAATATTTCGAATGATTTTTGAACTGTTAGAAAGTATTGCAGAAGAAAAATCTACTGTATTTATTACCGTCAGTGCAATAGAGAAATTGAGTGAATTATTGTTCCAATTTCTGGCCTTTTCCAAGACTCCTGAATTGCTGCATCTGCAAAGTATTCCATTAATGATAATATGACATAACTGATACTGACACAGAAAGTAATCAGTGTTCAGATGAACTTCAGTTGCTTTAATTTTTAAAGCCTTATTAGGAATGCTAAGTTATTGCTAGTGTCTCATTTACTCTTGTGTGTGTCAGAACACAACTCACCAGTCATGTTTTTTTTGTGTTCTGATTTTTCAAAGTGAAGCTGGTTGAGAAATTTTCGTTCTCATGTGGAAGGATTTGCATTTAAAACTCTTTTCTCATTGGTGCCTTACAGATTTAGCACTACTCCACATAGTGCTATTGATACACCATTTAATTCCAAAGTCAATGTTTTAGACTATTCCTGAAGGGTATTAGTGAAGAGATTTTTATTTTTATTTGGAATTCTTTTTTTTTTTTTTAATAGGAAATATTTTTAAGCTTAAATCCCAAATACAGCTATATTAAGTCTTCTTATGGTTTGTTATAGTTCTGTAAGGGGGAAATAAATTCTTCAATTGTGTGCATTCGTCTAGGAGAAACAATTACCAGTTACTGTAGTAATTTGCTTATTTTCTCCCCTTCATTTTAATGCATCAGATTTTTGTAGCAGAGAATTTGGGTATTACATTTTCTATTTACTTTGTATTTAGCAGCCTTTTGCATCTGAATAATTACACTATATACTTTTTTTGCACATCTGAGGTGCAATACAGAAATCCTTTTGATACATTTTGCACTCTTTATTAGTAGTTTTGTATTCTTCTATAGGATTACAAAAAGGATTCAGTTACTCTCCAAGGCAAGAGTTGTACTTGAAAATAAACTTTAAACGGGTACTGGCTCTCAAGTTCAGTGAAACCCGTATTAAGAGGATGCTGTGCTTCAAAAGTCCCTTAGGCTGATGGCAAATTTAATTGAATGGTCCTTCAGCCTTCACCTTAAAGACAGGAAACCTTCTCTTGAACAAAATTGTTGAGAGGCAGCAATTTTCCTTAACATGGTGAGACTTTTGTTAGCCATAATGATTTGATATGCCTGGGCCACACAGAATAACTGGGAAATTCTGTCTCTCCCAGAGAGACAACCTTCTTCCTACAGGTGAGTTTGAGTACACGTCAGGTACTCCTGGCTCTGAAAGCCTCATCAGCTTCAGTGTGGGGTTGTGTAAACATAATTATTTTTGTCTTGCTGTGCTCAGGCAATGAAACAGTAAGGATACATGACTAATCTAGTTGGGGTCTGTGCAAATCTATGCTGCTTCTAGGTTCAAGCTGTCTTTCAAAAACCAGTGTATATGGCTTTGTAGCCTGTTGGACCTGAGCTGGTCTGTGTGAAACCTCTAAGGAATGGTTAAATTTGCAAACTGTACTTGGTTATTAATGACAAAGAAGTGATTGTATGTTTCCTTCAGGCTTTCAATTATTGCACTGAGGACGACAGTGGTAAATGTCAGTTTGTTGCCCTCTTGGAGAGGGACATCTGAATTACCTTTCAATTCTGTGTTTTGAATCCAGCTTAGTGGAGCAAGCACCAGCCCAGATGGGAGAGGAGGCCGTGCGGTGGGCAAAGCTCATCATCCCTCTGGTCGTGCATTCCGCTCACAAGGTGCAGCTCCGCGGTGCCACCGCGCTGGAGATGGGCATGCCCCTGCTGCTGCAGAAACAGCAGGAGGTGGCGGCCCTCACCGAGCACCTCATGACCACGGTGAGTGCAGATGGGAGGCCTTTCTCTGCTCTAAAGGCAATGCCTCCAGTTGTTTTGTTTTATTTGTTTTTATATGTAATGTAAAATCTAGATAGAGATTTTTCATGTAGCTCTTTGCTGTCACTGTGCTGATGGCAGCAGTTTTGACAGAAGTATGAAGGTAATGGCAGTGTAGTTACAGCACCACTGCAAAAAAAAAATTATTATGAATCATTGATCAGGATAATAACCTGTGGTTTTTAAATGACCTTTATCTGTTGATAGCCTTAACTCAGGGGTAGCATCATTAAACTTTATTTATTGCCTCTTAAAATGATTTTATTTTACCAAACTATAATAATAGCATAATATAGAATGGGAGTGACCCACATTATCTATCCCAGCTTCCTTCCCAAAGTAAGGATTGAGTTGCTGAGAGCCTTGTCCAGTTGGCTTTTTGGCATCTGAAAGGATAGAAATCCTATGTCTTGTATCTGGGTAGCCTGTTCAGTGCTAACCACTGCTGTTTAACAAAAAGAAGATATATAGGTTTGGGTGGCAGCTTGTTATTTTTTCCCCTTTTGCCCGAGTGGAATTTGCCTTGTTGAAACTTGTGACTATTTCTTCTAATCTCCTCGGATGCCTCTGAAAAGTGTCTCGTGTTTTCCTTACATCCCTGCTATAGGTAGCAGAGGAGTTTCCATTTGCCTTTGAGTTTCTGAGGTTCCTGCCAGCCTTTTTCTCAGGCCCGTTGAGGTCCCTCTGAGTGGCAGCCCTGCTCGCCAGTGCTCCAACCTGCCCAGCTTGGTGCCAATGACAAGCTCGCTGGGATGCCTTCCATCCCGCCCTGCAGGTCATTGCTAATGCTAAATCATGTTGAGCCCATGGCACCAAAGCTGGGGTGGTTAGCTTCTAACTCCCCACATCTTCCTCTTGCTCTCCTTTTTATTTACTTATTTATTTATTTTCTCCGGTGTTTCTGTGGTTTCCTAAGGGATCTTGTTGTTGCTAGCATACCTGTAGAAGCCCTTTGTGTTACCCTTAACATCACCACTAACTGCTAGCTTCATTCTATATAACAATAATCAAATGTTAGGAAATGTTTAACTGATCTACTGGTAAATGCGGCATGGTACAGAATGGTATCTGTCTGATCCAGGTTTTCCAAGAATGATGAACAAAAGCACATGCTTTTTAGAATATATTCCTTGCCAAAATATTTCTTTTTTTTTTCAGAAGTTAATTTCAGAACTCCAGAAACTGTTCGCTACAAAAAATGAGACTTATGTCTTGAAATTATGGCCGCTGTTTGTGAAACTGCTGGGAAAGGTGAGTAGAAGAGTAGTAAGTTAGTTTCCCCAAGGATTAATGATTATAGATTTTTGACAGCATAAATATCTTAACTCTGTGAACATCTTTATCTTTAGACTCTGCATCGTAGTGGAAGTTTTATTAACTCATTGCTGCAACTGGAGGAACTTGGATTTCGTAGTGGCTCACCAGTGGTAAAGAAAATAGCCTTCATTGCATGGAAGAGTCTAATAGATAACTTTGCTCTAAATCCAGGTAGATTTAAAAACAAAAAGCTAACAGCTGAACCGTTCTATCTATCATCATTTTGCCTAAATGGAAGAGAATGGTGTTTTTTTTTTTTTTTTTTTTTTTTCCTCTTCTGCTTGGTAGTGATCAACTGTGTATGCATAAATAAAAGTGAAATATGTTGGGTTTTTTGGTCGAGAACTAACTTTGGCCACTTCTATTTTAATTTTGTTGTTAGGAGACATAGTAAAAATTAAGACTTTATAACAGTTTGAGCCAAACAATAATGAAATAGAGAGGAAAAATATTATTTTGTAGATTTTATTTTGCTTTGTATTGTCTACTTGAATAAGAGCAGTGGTTCAAATCTTCAGTAATTTAAGGTGTTGGCATTTGTGGTATGTGTACTAATCTGAATAACAAGCACTGCAAAAGCAGTGTGAGCAGTTTCGTGTTAATTGCGAAGGAATGTGTTCTGCTGCTGCTGAGTTTACTGAAAGTTTCTGATCTTTGAGCATTTGGATAAAGTTGAGCAAACTTCTGTCCAGACTTGCTTTGCTATTCCTACATGCTAGGAAGAGTAATTTAAGTAATCTGTAAGTCATATAAATGCTTCAATGATAAATTATCATTTGTGGCTCCAGTATTCTTTTAAAGTCACTGTCTCATTCAGTAGCTAGTGCACATATGCACTATTATTAATTATTGATGCATATTATTGATTTTTTTCCTTTTCTTTTTTCTTTAAATTACTAAGGATGAGTGAATATAATTTTACCATGTTTACATTAATATTCAGCAAACTTCATTTCAGTCCTAATATTCAAAATAAGTAACTGCTATTTCTGGAGTCATTCCTTAAAACTTTTTTAAAGGGCCAGAAAGATTGGTGTCTACATAATGTATTTTATTTTCACAAGTTATTACTCATTGTACTTAAGATAAACTACATTAGGAAGAAACATTTAGTTTGGAAAGTGTCTTTTTTTGCTATCCTTGTTCTGCAAATCATTTCTTAATTACTTTGCATAAAAATACTTTTTTCTCCTTCCCTCTCCCCTCAAGATATATTGTGCAGTGCTAAGAGGCTGAAGTTGCTAATGCAGCCCCTGAGCTCCATCCACGTGAGAACGGAGGCTTTGGCACTGACGAAACTGGAGGTCTGGTGGTATTTACTTATGAGGCTGGGACCACAGTTGCCTGCAAACTTTGAACAGGTAAAAAACTGAAAACAGTCATGGCATAGTCATTCAGCCTGTGTTGAGTGTGTGAAGCTAAATCTCTCTCATAACACATTTTTTTATATCTGTTCCCTTCAGTATTAAAATGAAATTGTTATAAAGGACTACATTAGACTTACCCTTATGAATATCATATTTTAATATATCCTATGTAGGAGTACTTGGGGCAATGCTTGCAATCCGTTTAAAGTTCTGAAAGAGTTGAAAGCATATTTGCATGTCCTGTGAGCATCTGAATGAAAATCTGTGCTCAGGACACAGTTGTAAACCTAAGCGAATTGTGTAAGAACTGCTTTGTCTTTTCACTGGGGAAGTAATGTACTTTGCAAAGTCTGCAGTAGGAAAACATACTGAAAAGAGTGCAAAATATTTAGAAAGCGACATAGAGCAGTGACCCAGGTGTACTTTTCTGTACGATTTGCCATCAGTTGGGCATTGCTTTGCCCTTCCAAAGGAACATCCAGTGAACAAGAGGAAAAAGAAACTATTAGGATAGCCTGTTCGCAGAGATGCTGTGAAAACCTTCGACGTTTCTACATGGCAGCAGATATGTGGGATACTAAAAAGGGAGTCTTTGTCTGTTTGAGCAGGTGTATTACAATTACTTAAGGAACCAGGAGGATTAACTTTTATATTTTTGTCTTCCTGAAACACTGTTTTTTGGCTTGTGCTGACTCGAAATAATATTCGGATAATCCTTTAGGATTCAAACAGGACAGGCCTGAGTGGAGGTTTCTGTTCACAATGGATTTTTGAAGACTTAGACTTTTAAGCAATGCTTAGGTAGTTGCCTTTAGTAGTAGTCCCACTTGTTCTGGAAATGTGTTTTGATAGAAAATGTGATAATGTTGTTAGTACTTGCATTATAGTTGGAATGAATAAAGTATTACTATTAGGTTTTTGAATTTCGTTAAATTAAATTTCACAAAGTTAGAGGAGAAGGAGTTCATTTACCTTTTTAATTAAGGTGCAATTAAATCACTTCTACAGTGAGCTTGGCTTAGTCTAGCCTTTGAATCCAGCAAAGGGCTACTAAAGTGACTGAGGGATTAGAGCATCTCTTATGAGAAGGCTGGGACTTATTCCTGTTTTCACTGAGGTTTGGTATCTTTGCAGGTTTGTGTACCTTTAATCCAGAGTACTCTAAGTCTAGATTCTTCTGCTGTGTTGCAAGGAACGCCTTCACGTGGCCCAGCCAGCCAGAGCGTGGCCTCAGCAAACCCTGCACAGAAATCAGGTATCAAAACACAAGCCCCTTTCCAACTATATTTCAGCAACTGATCTGTTACGTTACCTACTCTTGGATTGAGTATTTCAGGATTTAGAATATTGCATGCTTATCTGAGAACTTAGAGGTCGTGGCTTAGGTTAGTTAATAGAGACTGTGGAGTCGTAAGTTTACAAAAATCTCACTAATCAAACAGCTGAAATCTGGCTTTTAACGTCCAGGGTTGTGTTGCCTTTGGTGAGGGAACTTTGAGACTCTGTTTCTCAGTATTTGTTGGTATAGGCACTATTTATGTGTGCCATTTTCAGTTCTAGAGTGTTTACACATTTTGTTTCAGCAGGGTCACAATACGGCTGTAATATTGGTTCTTTGGTTCTTTAAATATTGGCTGTAATATTGGTTCTTTATGTTAAATACTGTCAAGTTGAGCTACGTATCAAAATGAGTTACAGAACTGCCTTTCTTCGCTGTCTAGAGCACCCAGGAATCTAGGCCTTAGGTAACTGTAATAACCTGGAGGTTATTACAGGCTGGAGTAGTTAGAAACTGCAAGGACATTCTGTGAGTCTCCTAGATATATAAATCTTCCTGTTATTCCTTTTAACAGGAAAATCAGTTAATTATAATTTTGTGACATCCTCTTTGAAATCCACCAGTGTTCTGTGCATCTGGGGCTCTCCCACTTTAGCATTTCTATTAGAAACTTTTATACTCATAGAGCGATTAGTAGTTACTGTATAAAGGCAGCTTTCATGGGGACACTTCTTTCTAAAGAAGCTGAGAGCCTGAAACTGTTGGTAGGGGTCTTTGGAAGATAGGTGTGTTTTCAAAATACATGTTTATTACTGATTTTAATCTAACTTGGGATAGGAGTTTGTACTAGATGTCTGTCAGAAGTCCCTTTCAGCCACTGATATTTTTTTTTCATGTTAACTTTGTTTTGGTCAGTGAACTTTCCTTTCACTTGCTTCTAGATGAAATACTGGGTAATGCAATTTTTCAACCCCCCCACCTAGGTCCATACCCATTTGGAAGTCCAGCCACGCCAAGGATGAACTTAAGTTCTGGTACAGCAGGAACAGTGATGATTCCTTCCATTCAACTTTTGGGAATTGAGATGCTGCTTCACTTTTTGAGAGGCCCAGAAGTTTTGAATTTTGCCAAGCAAAATAAGCTCGTACTGAGTTTAGGTAAATGAGTTCTGTTTTTTCAAAGTACTTTTGTGTAATCTGAAAATTACTACTTTTATGAGATTTGAAGATGTCCATTAGTATCATGAAATTCTTGAAATATTTAAGTGTTAATTGCCATTTTTATATTGGAAGGTGTTTTCTGTTGTATCACATGCTTAGGGTGTGTGTTCATACTTTTTTTTTTTTTTGAGATTTACCTTAAAAATATGCCACAAAATAAAACACATTCTGTAAATCTGTTCTTGCAGAGCCTCTCCAGTACCCGCTAATCAGTAGCCCATCTTTCTTTTGTAAGCATGCCAGCACACTTATAAATGCTGTTCAGGATGGCTTCATTGCAGTTGGAAAAGAGGTGCCTGGTAAGAATTTAATGGTGAATTTTTATTTATTTATTTTTCCTGTGGGGAATGGAGAGTTAATTTTTTTTTTTTTTTTTAAAGCCACTATTCAATAATATTCTTGTGCTAATATTGTTCAATGGAACTGACCTGGCTAGGTTTGAAGGATTGAGTTGTGACTTAAGTCAAAGTCTGTAGTTTAACACAACTTATACTTTAACTTCAGTGTCTGTTCAATGTTTTTATTATAAACTGAATAGAAATGTTATCTTGCAGATTCTATGCTGAATGTTATATGGCAGGACATTAATGGATATGTAAAAACAGCTATCGAATCAGGTAAAAAAAAAAAAAGTATTTTTTTATTGGTTATTGCTGACTAATTTTTCATTGAGATTCTGAGAAATTTTGTTTCATTACCTGTAACTGCTGATTTTTCAGTGTCTTAATCGAGTTAGTATAATTTTTTTCTTGTGTGACTACAGCTACTTGAAAAGAAAATTTTGTCTCTTAGTAAACCTAGTCTCTTCATAGTTATAACAAAAAAGGCCATTGCTCAATGTAGGCCTTAAAACTGCAGAATATTATTAATACCAAAGTTGTCTTGCACCGAAAGGTCTAACTGAAAAGCATAATAAGAATTCAGTACTGCATATATTACTTGGATAAAGTAATACTTGACAGCATTTTTGAACATATTAAAGTTAAGGGTGTACAGCAGTCCATGTTGAAGGTAGGAAGGTTTTTCAGCTTTAATAAAATTACATTTTTTTTCTGTAAACTTTTTACACTGTTCTTTAGAGCAAAGACTTAGTATCTGATTCTGCAAAGTATCTGGCATATGTTTATAGCCAGATACGTTAATAGGATTTGTTTCAGCTTGAAGTATTATATTTAATAATGGTGAGCGTGGCCATTAGTTTGTTCTGCTGTAACTGTAAATGTACATTGTTTTAGGAAATAAGAAAGAAAAGCAAGGTTCCGAAGTACTGACCATGTTGCTCCAGGCCTTAAAAAACATTGTTAGATCAAATTCTCTTCCTATGCAAAAAATACTGGTAAGTCAGACGTGTGGTTTTTATCCCATATCTTTCCGTTTTTCTGAATTCTGCTTGGTGGCATTCTTGTGTTTTATGCATCAGGACTGGCTCTTTATAAGAGCCAACTTAGGTAACTGTAATCAGCTTACACAGTGCTGCTTACGGATTTCCTAAAACGTGGAGGTTTTTTCACTTTATCAGCAGTGTTTACTGTAATAGGTATGTGATTCCACTTGCAGAGCTTTTGCTTTAAAGAACTTTTATGATGGATTTCTTTTTTTGACCTTTTACTAAGGAGGACTGTTACAGTTTTGCTAGTATTTTGTACTGCCAAAAATATCTTTCCTAAGCTTCTAAATGTTTAAACGTTTCCTTCTTTTCTTGTCCTTAGTCTCTCATTGACATTACTATTAAGGAGTTGCCCCCAAAAGTCTTGGGGTCACCAGCTTATCAGATTGCTGATATGGATCTCTTAAATGTAAGTGTGACTTTATTCCAAATCTCTGTCTTCATTAATGCCTGAAGGCATTAGGATGTCTGTGCGCACAAATGTACAGAGTACAAAGCACTGTAACTCTTAACCTTTTAAAAAGAAACTTTTAGCTTCAGCTATAGAATAACTGGTGTTCTGCTAAAGAGCCAGGATTTTTCACTACAAGTTTTTATTTTGAACTCTCACGGCTGGCAGTTTCCTATGGTTTGCTTTTAGTGATTACAGGTTACTACCATGTAGTCATGTTAAAGATCACAATCCCAGAATCACAGAAGTGTTAAGCTTGGAAGGGACCTCTAGAGATCACCTAGTCCAACCCCTGCTCCAGCAGGGACACCCAGAGCAGGGGCACAGGGCGGCATCCAGGCGGGTTTGAAGATCTCCAGAGAAGGAGCCTCCACAGCCTCTCTGGGCAGCCTGTGCCAGGGCTCTGGCACCCTCACAGCAAAGAAGTTCTTCCTCCCATGGTGTTTTAATTTGTACCCATTACTCCTTGATCTGTCACTGGCCACCAGCTAGAAGAGTTTGGCTCCATCCTCCCCTCAGGTATTTATACATATTGATCAAGCCTTCTCTCAGCCTTCTCTTCTCCAGGCTAAACAGGCCCAGCTCGCTTAGTCTTTCCTCATACGAGAGGAATCCTGTCCCTTAAGATAGCCAATTCACTTAAACATGTAACTATTTCATTTGTTCAAAGTATAGACTCTTTTGACCTCTTAAATTTCTTTTAAAAGGGAACACCAGCTTTGTTCTTAATTCAGCTGCCTTTCCATAATGACCTCTTGGAGCAGTGTGTAACAGATGAGAGGTATGTGCATTGCAGTAAAGACTACTGTGGTTTTTGTTTCCTTTTTAAGCATGTTTCCCATGGTCTAAGACTTTATGGAAGCTTCTATCTGACTTCAGCTTAAAAAATAAAACAAAAAAAACCCTTACCTATGTAACTTTTCTCCTCTAGGTTTTTTGTAATCTTGGAAACCCTTGTGGGCTGTGTTTTATCTGGTCCTGCATCCCCACTGGCTTTCAGTGAATCGGTGTTCTCTATTATTAATCGGAGTGCAAAGCAGGTGGAGAACAAGGAGCATCTCTGGAGAATGTGGAGTATTGTGGTTAATCCGCTCACCGAATGGATTAATCGGGTACAGTGTTGGTGTTTTGTCCCCAGCCCTTGTTCCTCTGTCATCCCCAGCCCTCCCAAAGGAAAAACACAGGGAAAGATTTTGTGCTGATCTTTTAACATATTTTTAGGAATTGGGTATCTTAAAGTGATGGCGAAATTGCATAAACCTTGGTAGTATTTATGAAAACAGGATGCACATAGTTGTAAAAAGTTTGTAATTGAAGGATGCATACTGTGAAGTGAGGTAGAAAAAAGGAGTAAAGTAGGAGTGCTGATCCACAGTGAGGTTTAAAGTTATTGTAGTCAGAAGAGTAATCATTATTCTGTACTGTGTGCATTGAGCATTGGGAATTTTTTTCTTTTTAAAGATTTCAGATGTGCCTATGCATAAGATTTGAGCTTCCAGTGTAGGCTGGTTGTTGTGAAGGATGGAGACTAGCCCTTCAGGACCTCTTAACCTTTAAATAATAAGCTTGTTTGCTCTTTGCATGCTGAGTTGCAAGATTTAAGTTATTATTAGGACAGCCTTTTCTAGTAATGAAAACCCTAATAAAAGCCATGTAAACTGCAATATTCAACCAGTTTTACAGGCTGCTTGCAAGGAATATGCTGACTTTAATCTAGGAATTGTCAAGCTTATCACCATTTAGTCATTGGACCTAAAAAAAAATCTTTGGAGATTTGAAAGATGTTATTTTTAGGTGCTTTAAATATATTGCTAGCATCACTTACTGTAACTGAACTAAGTAAAAAGTAATTCTAAATTCTAACTCCATTTTTTTCTTTGGGGTTAGGGAGCTGTTTTGGAATTAAAAAACCCTTCTCCCCTGTTTAATAATGGCTTCTACTAATGGCTAATCTGGAAACACCATAAGTTAAATAAAACTTATGCCAAGTTTATGTACAAAATAATGCGTTTAGAACAGTCTTATCTAAATTTTGCAGCTTGCTAATGCAGAGTAAACTTCTTATTGCAGACTAATGAAGTAAACCAGGGAGATGCACTGGAACACAACTTCAGCGCTGTCTATAGTGCGTTGTTGCTACCTGTATTCCATATCTTCCCAGTTCCAGAATTTCCACAGGTAAGAGAATTGCTGGCACTGATTGGAAACAATGGGCTTCATGGAAATAATGAAGTGCTATCTAATAATATCAGGGTAGAGTTTTGTCTATTCATAAGTGTGCATGCATATCATATATATATTCATATATACACACATGCACAGGATATATGTATATAGTTTTAAGGTTGGAATTCTGGAGTTGTATAGATTTTACAGAAGAAAACCTAAAAAATATGTATATTTTTATGCACAGACATTGATATTTATAAACCTTTTCTTTCTGTTTTAAAGCCAACGATGAAGTCCTTGTTGCTCTCTTGGTCAGAGCTGTATCGAGCCTTTGCTCGCTGTGCTGCTTTAGTTGCAACAGCAGAAGAAAATGTGTGTTGTGAAGAACTCTGTGCAAAAATAATATCTGGGCTAGAAGGTGAAATTCCAGTAGTGAGTATAAACCAATGATACTGAATTATATAAACGTTTCAGCAAATATATTTTGAACTAGGTACATGTACAAGAATGTATGGAAAGTTTTTATGTAGCTTTTTCTGTAACTTAAAAATTGGTGGTGGGAGAAACTGAAATAAAGCAGTAAGATAATTCTTTTAACTAGTCAGAATTAGTGAGTTGATCCAAAAACAGATTGACAGAAGCGAATAAAGATAATTATAGTGCTTTATTATTAAAATAAGCCAAGCAGATCTTGTATTTGGCTTCTAAATATTTAAGTAATACTTGGTTAGTGAGTGTCGTTATCATAATAAATATAATTTGATCAGTTGAACTGAATATGATGCAACTTAAGGTCAAATTAATCAATACAAAAAAAGATGCCTCTATTAGGAAGGAGAGTGGGTTAGCATCGTAGCATTCAAAGAACAGTTTGCCCTGTTCCTTAAGGGGAGAAGGAGGGAGGGAAGAGGAAGGATACTGTAAAAAGAAAAATTAAGAAATAACCAAGAAAAGTGGAATCTGAAAACATACTATTTAGAGGATTACATCATTACAGCTGCTTTTAGATACTGCTGTATGCAGTATACTAATCGTGATGATAAAGTTCAATTTTCAGAAATAAATAATTATTCATTAAGGTAAACTAGAATTTAAGAGCTTCAGTATGCAAGTGACATTGAAACTAGACTTTTTTGGCCTTTCTTTTAAAAGCAAGCAAAAGTACTTGTTTAATATTAAAAAAAAAAATCCTTGGCATTAGTCTCTTCATCTATACTAGAAACTGTAGCTCATAATGAAATCTTGCTGTTAATGCTAAGGCCATCAATGTTTTCTTTTTTTTAAACAAAATTTTGGTTTTAGTAGATGAAATCAAACACTCACTGAAATTTGATGACGTGTTCTGCTAGACAGCTAGTACTTCTAACCTTTATATTTTTGATGCATCTTCTGAAATCTAATGTCTGCCTGTTACTCTTACCTCTTTAGAATGATGTATTTTTGCATCTAATTTGTCTAGAGGGAAGACTGAATCTTATCAAATGTGCTTATTTTAAATCATAAACATGATTATGCAGTCAAATTTCATCCATTTCACTACATATGAAGTATGAAACATACGAAGTTTTTGCATTGCTGTTCTCAATGGCCAACACATCTTGGTGTTTTTTGTTTATTTTTGTTTTATATATATGTCTCTGTTTTTTCTTTCTTTTTGTCACTGTAACTGTTTTAAAGGTTTGCTAGTGACTTCTGTTTGTTACTCAGGTCTCTTCAGTGACGGAGGGTCTCACCCATGTTATGTCAGTTGTGGTGGACTGCATCAACTTTGCACCGTATGGCACTAAATATCAGCCAAAAATTAGATGTAAGAGGATATTTCAGTATTGTGCTTTTGTCTTTTTTGTTTTATTTTATTTTATTAGGTTCGTTGAAAGTTGGAATTTTCGTGTGTTCAAAAGTGATGACAATAAAATATCAGCTGCCCATACAGTTGAAAAGCTACTGTTCATGAAGCTTCATGTAGGGGGGAAAAAAGTTCTAATATATTTAGTTGTAATAGATGTAACTTAGAAATCTTAAAGCATGGAAAAGAGTGAAAAATAAACATTTAAAATGTCTTTTCCTTTAGCTCCACAGACACCTACGGACTGGTCGAAGAAGAAGAAGGAGCCTCTTGGAAAGCTTGCCCCTCTGTTCAAGATCCTGGTGATGCTGGCAAACTCTTTCCATGCGTTCAGTTCCAAAGAAACCTGTTCAGAAACGCTGGTCTCTGTTGGTCCTTCAATTATTGCTATTCTTCACAATATCATCAGCCACGTTTCGTTGCCTTCAGTGATTGGGACTATGTTTGCAATGTTTTCAAAACCTCTGGCAATTTTTTATGAAAAAACAAAGTGAGTATTTTAGGACTGGAAAACTGAGTTCATTGTATTGCTGTTTAGTGATGTAATTTTGTGTGGTCTGTGATACTAGAAACTTTCAGCTCCAGCTAGATTTCTTTTAGAGCACAGAGTATTTTGCTTAGTTTGAACCTAGCTGGGAGGCACCTTTCTTGTAGTGCACCCAGACACTGCAAACAGAGCATATCTGCCTGGGAGGGTCGCTGCTAACCTGCTGCTTTCTGTAATGGCCCTGTATAAACCAGGGTGCTGGGTTGTGTGCACAGTAGGACCCAAATTTGATATTTCAAATTGCCATCTCTTTGGAGTTAATAACATTAGCTCCACTTCATTATTTGTAAATTGAAAGTTTCAGTTGTGATATCTCATTTCATTAGAAATGGCCACTGGAAATAATAATTTAAAACTGCCCATAGGTAAATATAATCTGAAAATCGCTGTAAAAATCATCCAGCTTGAATAAATTCCCCTATCAAGGTAGAGTTTAACTACACCACTCTCTCCACCTCCCTCCTCTGCCTCCGAGCAAAGTTTGTCTTGGAATTATTTGTTAAAAGGGCGATGTTTGTGCTGGGTGTATGTCTTTACAGGGAGCAAATATGTAAGCAAATGTAAGTTTGGAAACATCTGTGCTCAGGATGGAAGTCACAGGTTTGAAAGAAATTACAAAACACATTTTTCAGGATTGTGTGTGTAGGACTGTGTTTGCATGAAATCAGCTTAGGTGCTGCTTCAGGTTTATGTGCAGATGTTTATGGGATCTGGGAAACCTGGCTGGAAAAGAGAGAAGAGCAATACAGTGAAGGTAGAAGTTACTTTATCAGAAGCCTTTTTTTTTTTTTTTCCCCCTTTTATAAAGTTGAACTAAGTGCTCATTTTTGCCATTAAATTGTTTAAAGGAATATTTAGGGCATGCGGGTGTCTGGTGCTAAAGGGGATAGGCTCAGCTCAAAGTCTTTGAGCCAGGAGGTTTATAACCCTCCAGGGAGGAGGGTTGTTATCCAACATTTGTCAAGTTGTGTATTCAGTCTTGTGTGCAGTGTTTGAGTGTGTGTTTTTAATACCTGTGTGTGGATAGATGAGAAAGCAGAATATTTCATAGTTTCTTTTTGTTTTGACAGGCTTGCTGATGTCCCTAGAGCCTATAATAATCTTAACAACAAGGTAAATTTCTTGGAGAAACAGCTGAAGGGAGGGGAAATGTGGCAGTCCAGAGGGAATTTTTCTTGCCTTTCATCCTGTATTCTAAACAAAAACATAGCAAAGGTAGAGAATTAATTTTTAAACTGTATTTTCCTGAAAAGATGGCTAATATGATTAGCTTAGATATTAAAACACAGTTATATCCAGTTTATTTGAAGTGAGATTCTTTCTGTGACATGGTGTTCAGACTTGTTTATGCAAGCCATGATGTCCTATAGGGTAACAATTCTTTCTGTATTTAGAAAGCTTTTTTTTTTTTTTTTAAGTAGTAAACATGTGCAACATCAGAATGAAAGACTAAAAATACTGCTTCTCCCCTCCCTCAGCTTGAAAAATTGCTGGCCGAGATCATCCTGTGTTTACAGTCTCACTGCACTGGCTCTTTTGACAGTGAGCTGCTGAAGCAGCTTTCCCCATTGCTGTGCACACTGTTTCAGCACAGGAGCAAACAGATCCGCAGCCAGTGTGCCCACTTCTGGAATGCCACGTTTGCCAAGGCTGCATCGTTAACATACCCCGAAGAACTAAAGTAAGATTTCCTTTTTGTATGTTGTGTGTGGCTGGGGCTGTAAAAAAATACAATCAATGCAATTTAAAGCAGATTCTGATTGTAAGAACTAGACTTGGTCAAGTACATATGTCCAGAAGTACCTGGTGGTATATTTGAATTGTACAATTATCTTCATTCCTGAAGTTGACTATGCAGTGACTTAAATATACAATTTTATCCTCAGATGCTTAGGAGAATGTCTTATAAATATTTAAAATATGCCTGGAAGTCCATGTACAGGGTTACCTGACTGTTAAAGCCATGAATTGTAGCACAAGTGAGGAAGATCTGAACTTACAGATGAGTGAATTGGCCTGTCCTGTTCACCACGTGCATTCTTGTTACTGTGGGGGCTGCTGTATCGTGTCTGCTGCTTCTGCTGTGTGGTTGTCCCCCCTGAGTCTAAAATCTTGTGTCCTGCAGAGCTGTGCTGACTCAGGCCAAGCAGAAGACGCCGCTGCTGCTGCCTGGCTTTGAGAGCGTTGAGCTAGCAGAGGAAAACAGCGGCCCCTTCTCTGATGCTGTGAGTATTTTATTGATCCCAGTGAGTGCTCCACTGTGTATAATAAGGAGAAATGTTCAGGTGGTTTCCTGGGGTGCCAGGAATTCTGTTTTGGGG